TGAACTCTTTGTGATGACTACTTTAAAGATATACGGACAAAAAGGTTTACTGAGTGACTGTGTTACACTGCAGCTTCTGTGACGAGATTTTTCCTTTCCTTTCCTTTTTTGCTTATGAACTTTATTTTATTGGGGGTTGGGGGGTTGTAAGGGCAGAAGGCAGACATGAAGGAATGGGAAACGAATAGGATAGAGATGCATAATATAAAAGACACAAAGATCCCAGCACTCAGGAGGCTGAGACAAGTGAATCTCTGTTAGTTCAAAGCTATCTTGGTCTACAAAGTGAGTTCCAAGACAGCAAGAGCTATTACACAGAGAAACCCTGTCTCATAAAACAAACAAACATAACATATTCAGAAAGCCATAAACTGATCTTTGACAATCTGATGGGAGTTTTGTCTGTAGGTTTATCTCTGTATTACTTGTATATCTGGTGCCTGCAGAGATCACAGAGGGCATCAGGGTCCTTGGATACTGACAGTTGTAAGCTGCTACGTGGTTGCTGGAAATCAAATCCAGGTCCTCTGAAAGAGCAGCCAGTGCTCTTAACCACCAAGCCATCTCTCCAGTCCCCTCATTAAAAGGTTATTTTTAATAACTGTCTTATGGGCTGGAGAGATGGCAAAACGCCAAAGTACATAAATTTAAATTTTATTTTTTAAAAATTATCTTATGAGTATGAATGTTTTACCTGCGAGTATATTTGTATACCACATTTGTACAGAACCCTTAGAGGAAAGAAAAGGGCTCCAGATCCCTTGGAACTGGAGTTTCAGATGGTTATGTGGGTGCTGAGAATTTACCCCAGGTCCCCTGGAAGAACAGCCAGTGCCCGTAACCACTGAGCCATCTCTTCCACACCAACAGCGATCTTCACACAAGGAAATTTGGTTTGGGGAAATTAATATTATTTTGTAGGAGCCAATCTGTGAAACAACTTTTAAAAACATATTTCTGAGTACTGCTTCACATAACTGTCTTCCTATTCTCCAAGTAATTATAAATACATAAGGCATAAATACTGAAAGGTTAATTTGAATACCATTAATACTTCCTTTTTCTCCCTACATGCATTGAAGTCAATAATTCACATGAATTTTGGGGGTGGGTGAACCAGAAAATGACAATGAACAACAAATTATTGGTAATGAATATTCTTGCCAGGTATGGTGGCACTTTCCTTTAATTCTACCACCCAGAGGCAGAGGCAGGCAGATCTCCAGTCAGAGTTACATAATGAGACCTCCATCTCCAAAATTTTTTCCTCTTAAAAATGTGCCAGGTCACGCTGGGCATTGGAGGTGTACACCTTTAATGCCAGCACTCAGGAGGCAGAGGCAGGCAGATCTCTGTGAGTTGGAGACCAATCTGGTCTACAAGAGCTAGTTCCAGGACAGCCTCAAAGCCACAGAGAAACCCTGTCTCGAAAAAGAAAACAAAAAAGAATGTGCCAGGTGTTGGTAATGCCTTTAATCCTACTGCTTGGGAGACAGGGCCAGGCATATCTCTTTAATCCCAGCACTCAGGAGACAGAGGCAGATGATCTCTATTACTTCAAGGCCACCCTGGGCTACAGGAAATTGATCCAGTTTTATAGAGAAACAGAGGTCACACAAAGGTGATCTCAGCACGTGGGAGCCCATGCCTTTAATCCCAGCACTAGAGAGGGACACAAGGCGGGAGGAGACAGGACAGCAGTACAGTATGAGGTTTGGTGGAGACATGTGCTGTCTGGAGATGCTGTCTGGAGATGCTGTCTGGAGGTGCAGTCTGGAGGTGCAGTCTGGAGGTGCAGTCTGGAGATGCAGTCTGAGGACAAGATCGCCCTTTTGGTTTGAGCATTGGTAGAGGTGAGAACTCTCTAGTAACAGGACACTTTGCTTCTCTGATCTTCAGCTTTAAGTATAATATCTGTTTCTGAGTCTTTATTATTATTACCAAATAGAATTTGTGCTACATAGTCTTCCAAAAAAGCCCATACAATTGGGATTAAATATCCCTTTCAGATTGAATATTGTTTGGTCCAAAATAGAGACTCAATGTAGCTTTATCGTTGCCTTTTTCCATTGAATGACCGATTAATACATCATATTGAATTAAATTATTGGAAAATCATTAATCAATACAGGACTTCTAAAACGGTTGTTGGAATCCTATCCTTGGAACCTCAATACTCCATCTTCTCTTGCACTGTACTTTGGGGACAATTCTAAGAGCTCCCTAATGCACACAAGACTTTGGTATTTAAGTATGAACTTTCATTCTAGTCTCCAACTATCAACTTGCCCTTTAACAGGCATTTCACTATATTCTGTGTAGTGTGGCTACCTGGGGAAATGACAGAGGCTGTGACAGAAATCCCAGTGCACACATTGCAAAAAACCATCGGCATCCCTGCGCTCTACCACCACCATAGAGAGTAATACTGTATGCTTTCTGTGCGCTACCCATGGGAAAGACAAGGGGTACAGACTGTAACGAGAACACAAGGAGACCACACACCTCACAGTCTTTCCCACGGTCTCCAGAGGCTCTCCGGAACATAATCTTTAATCTCAGAACTGTCAAAATGAAATTCTGCCGTCCTAAGTAAAAAGAATGAGGATGGGGACTACACTGGGCCCATTTTGACCCATGCATAGCGCTGCCACAAGATCCAGTGGTCGCAGTATGACGTTATCGCCAACAGTCCAGTTCCGTTCAGTCACCCAAAACTAATCAGAGCCAGCAGTCAAGCCCTCCCCACTGTGCACACCCCACACCGAGGCAGCCACGCACTCCCATGTGCGAGCAGTTGACAGCCCAAAGTCCCGCGAGCCCCTTTCCGTTCCAGGAGCTCGGAAGAACCGCCTCCACTCAGACTCTGGTCAGCTCAACTCAGTGCACGGGGAAATGAAAATGGAAAAAGATGACCACAATGCCAGAGGAAGGTGACACCGAAGCTGAACTTCAAGGGCCAGCCTGGAGGTATGGGTGGAACTTATTCAGGCCCCAGCCAAGAAGAGATTGGTACAAGCACTGGGCGAGTGACAGGCACCCAGCATCTAACGGGCTGCCCCAGAGGCTCCTGGGAGTGCCAGCCCCCGGGATGTGTGCACATGCACAGATGGCTGAACCACAGCAGGCGGGATGAGGCTGCTAGGTACTGGGGCTTCTGAAGAGGCTGAGGACTGCAGTGGATGCTCCGGATCCAGAGAGCAACAGAGAGAGCGAATCCAGATGGGGAGGCCAGGGAGGAAACCGGGAGTCCGAGCCGGGCCTGGTAATTTGGGGGGCAAGAAAGCGGGACTGGACACTCAGCCATAGCACAGGACCTCGGGCATGGTCTTGTGGGTGTGATCCTAAGGATGACTGCTGGGGACCCGGAGGGTGCAGGAGTAGTTTGTGTGTTTAAGCGTGAGGAAGCTCTGTCGCTGGGAGCAGGATCCTGGGCAACACGGATGTGGGGTGTATGTTGGGGTTTGTCTCTTTCCACTCATTCTGCTTATGTGTTTGGTTTTTTTTTCTGGGGGGAGGCGAGTGCGATTTCCTTGGATGTGTGAAAAGATGGGTGGGTGGGTTCCTGTGCAACATGTGTCTATTTTTAGATTAGGTGTGACTCCTAGTTGAGACTGGAGAATTGAAAGTGATCTGCGAACTTGATTGTGAATCACTTTGCCTGGAAGTGTATCACCATCTGTGGTCGTGAATTACAGGTGAAGCTGTAGTTTGGTGGTTTTCTGAAGGATGTTTGAAAGGCTCACGTGTGTTTTCTTCTGTTGTTTCTCATGGTTTTATGTCTGTAGTACCCTTAATATTTAAATGGTTGAGGTATGCTGTATGATCTCATGTGTGTACATTTTTTTAAAAGACAGAGATTCATTATGTATTCCCAACTGCAGGGATTCCTGTGGTGCGTGCACCACCAAGCCTGGAAGTTATGTACTGTTTGACTATCAGATTAGTAGCCCGCAAGTAGGCTTCACAGATTTCTAAGTCGTAACTTAGAAAGTACAATGGCAGCCGGGCGTTGGTGGTGCACGCCTTTAATCCCAGCACTCGGGAGGTAGAGACAGGAGGATCTCTGTGAATTCGAGGCCATCCTGGTCTACAGAGCTAGTTCCAGGACAACCTCCAAAACAATACAGAGAAACCCTGTCTCGAAAAAAAGAAAGAAAGAAAGAAAGAAAGAAAGGAAGGAAGGAAGGAAGGAAGGAAGGAAGGAAGGAAGGAAGGAAGAAAGAAAGTACAATGGCACTGGTGTTGGGGAGGAATAGGTAAGATTTTCATCATTCCCAGTGGCAAGGCCGATTACCTGGAAGCACGATGTTCAATGAAAACAGTGTTTAAATGAATGCTGTTGAATGGGAGCCTGCAGGAAGGGTAGCACTTTTCACTCATAACTACCACTCTTCAAGCACTTGTATGAGTGGATTTTTCTGTTCCTGAAAATTATAAAGACATTTAGCACACTTTTATTTCTAAGACCAGCTTTATCTTAGTAATTAAAATAGCTTTGCCAACCAGAATATTCACTGTAGCAGTCAGTACTTCAGACTTTGCTTAGCCAAATGGGAGCTAGCAAATTGGCAAGATTGGTTAATTTCTTTTCCGTGTCCAAATCTCTATTACTAAAATGTGTATGCAATACTTACTTCTTGAATTAACTATTAGTAATAAGTAATGTGTACATGTTATACTTATATAACTATACATTTAAAAGATATATTTATTTTCATGTGCCTGAGTGTTTTGTTCTCAAAGAATATTTACATGTAACATGTATTATGTTTCTTCTTGCTTAATTTGCATTCCTCTCTCTGTCTCTCTGTCTCTATCTCTCTGTCTCCACTTTTAATCCTGGCCTTTGCACGTACACACATGTATCCAAGGATTATAGGCACGAGTCACATGCTGACTGTGCCTGAGTAGAAACTAATAATTTTCCCCATTTTATCCCCCTTTGATTAAAAATGCCCCCGCTCTGCTGTCAGATGAGAGGAGTGGTAACTCACTCATCACAGCCAGGAGACTGGGAGACTGATCTTCAAGTTGAATCCATTGGAGACCTCACACTGATACTCTCCAGCATCCTCACTCCTGACAGGATTTATTCTGAGTCCACACTTTTTTGGGGACAGAGTCATCCTCTCTTTGAGCTGCAGATTCTCCTTATTGAAGAGCCAATGAATAGGGATATCAGTGTCAGGTGAAATGCAGGTGAAAATCACAGATCTACGTCCTACAATTGTGGCATCAGTGATTTGTACAAAGGGCTGTGTTACATGTTCTGTGAAGAAACAGAGGAGGGTACCAAATGACAATAATCCTGAGAACTCAAGGAGACCCTATTTAATTCATACTTTATAAAGCATCCAGGGGGAATAATTTGGAGTTGTGGAGATAGACATATCTTGTGCTGTGGATTTGCCATCCAAGGACCATGTTACCCTAGTTCAGGCACTGTTTTCTGTGTCTCAGTTTCCCTGTAATACACTCAGTGAGTGATCAATGCCATGACAACGAGTTAAGCTTAGTTATGAGCAATGATCTGCACTAAGGATGAGGAGCTGCTCACATCAGTAGTATCTGTTACTAATCACCTGCAGAAAAAACTACCTTAGCTGGTGAAGGAGGAATCTGGTATAGCTGCCTCTTCTGTTTCTGCCCTTATGCCTTCACCTTCTTCTGAAGTCCATATGCAATCAGAACACTATTCTAATGGTCCAGACACCTGCCTACTGAGCCTCAGGAGAAGGAGATACACAAGTGTCCTACCTAACTGTAGTTTTCATGGCAGTACACAGCTGATGTTACACTCTATGGGATAGTCAGTCCTGTGTTTTAGACAGTCTGTAATGCCTTGTTCTCTTGTCAGCTCGGACAGGAATTCTAAATGAGCAGTTACACAAAACTCCCCAGTGTCACCTTGAAGCTATCCAGAGGCAAAGTTTTGGAGTCAGGACTTTCTGGTGGTCTCTGTGAGTACCCTATTGCTTCATCAGCCAGGGTCTGCCTGACTCCCACAGAGTCTTTCATGGGATGTGTGCATGGTGAGAACCCCAAAGATCTCCATTAAAGCTATTATCCTGGGGCTGAGTTTACACAACACAGGTATTTCTCTCTTCAGGTAAAGACAGATTTTCATCTGTTGAAGTCTGTCTATCCAAAGTGTGCCCTATAGTAGGGACTCAAACCCCAGTGGGGGACACAGTGCAGTGTGAGAGAGAGCAGCCTCAGCCCAATCATGACAGGTTAGTGTATGAAGTAGGGTAAGTCTCACTCAGCAGTTGGAGACTGTAGAAAGTCACTTACTCTTTAAATAAAATTCACGTTTACTTTTTTAATAGTAAAATCTTTGTTTAAAATTTCCAGTATGTATATTCCTGCATCTTCCTCAGTGACAAGCCGGAACATCAGGTATCCATTTGTGTACACCGTCTCTCTTTGGTGTGCTGGTCCCCAGGGGATGGAATTCATGCCTCTGGTGTATTCTATAATTTTAAGGACTGAGGTGTTACACTCTGATTTGTATCAGGAAAATGCGAGCAGATCTTCTGGAAGATTATGAACTTGGAGAAGCATGCCTTCATTTTGGAAAGCAAACAGAGGAACTGATTGTATCAGGAGTCAGGGAGAAGGGAGAGTGTTGGCAGACCTCAGAAAGGGAAACTGGGAAGGAATAAAGAAAAAAATCCATCAGATATGGATCATTGTGGGAAAGAAGGGGAAAAGATGGTGACTTACAACCTGAGGAGATGGATTCATCACTCAGTCTAGAGTTTCAGATATGTGTGTGTGTGTGTGTGTGTGTGTGTGTGTGTGTGTGTTAATGAAGGGAAGAAACATAACTTTCTCCCTTTCAACTGTGTCCCTGAAGGTGTTATGTCTTTTGCGTGGAACTGCCCCCTTCCATGTCTGCTCCCTCAGCCCCCTCAGTCAGATACTGTGCACACTCATGGACAATGGGATTTGAGAAGATGCCTCCTCTGAACTCAACAGGCCTGGAATTTTCACTTCCAAGTTTTTTCTTCAGTTTCCTTTCAGGCAACACTTAGCCCCTGACTTTACCTAATAGATGCACTTGCTGCTTTGTCAAGTAGCCCTTAGGTCTGGAGTTGTGTGGCAGCTGAAATAAGCATGACCTTCAAGGCAGGCTTGGGTCTTTACTCTGGTTGGTTTTATGTCAACATGACACAAGCTACAATGATTTAGCAATACAAGGACTCAGTTGAAAGAACCACCAACAGATTGACCTGTTTGCAATACAATAGTGCATTTTTAAAAATTGGGATTTATGCAAAAGGATTCCGGCCAATGCAAGAAGTTCAAGCCCTGGTCTAGGAGTCCTGGATGATATAAGAGAGCTTTTTGAGCAAGCATAAAGGGCAAGTCAGTAGGAAACACTCTATCATGGTCTCTGTACAAGTTCCTAGATTTTATTTATGCCACTGTCAATTTGAAGCTAATAAATACCCAGGTTGACATGGATATTCTAAAATCATTGTCCCCTATCAGCTTTGAGAGGCTGTAAGAGTAGAGCACTAGAAAAATGCTCCCCTGGATAACTTTAGTCCAGTTTTGGAAAGATGACTGTAATCACGGCTCTATGGTCTAGAGTCCCAAGGGACTGGGCTGACTCTGATATCTTACTTTCCATCAAGGTTTTCCTTGATGCAAATGAAGTCAGAAGATGGAAGCTTATCTATGGCCATTTGTCCCCACCATTTTGTCTTTGGCTAAGTTCTTCAAAGCTCCAGCTGGGGACACAGTGCAGAGGGAAGGGTGTCTAGGCAAACCATGACAATCCTGTGTGTCTAATTCCCACCCAGCAATGAACATCCACAGAGAATCACTTACTGTCCACCTGGAGTTACACTTGTGCTTCTTCAGGTTGCATATCTGTTCTCACAATTTGTGGAGTGTACAATCCAGAGTCTTCCTGAGTGACACCATGAAGCAGCAGGGATCCATCACTGTGCACTGTCTCCCTGCCACTGTTGCGGGCCCCCACAGAGTTGGCTTCCTTTCTGGTATGTTGGATAGCCAAAAGGCTCTTGAAGTCAATCATTCCTCTGAACCAGACAAAAGCTACAATATTCTCCAGGAGATTATGAATGAGAAGAAGAAAATTTCCCCCTTCAGCAACACTGGGTGGCACTGATTCAATATTGGGCTGGGCAGAGGTAGCAAGGTACCCACACTTTCATAGGAAAGCTATATGGGAAACTATTGGGACTTTTGTATTTGACTAAGACGAGAGTCTGTGACCTGAGCAGTTGTGTCCATTGGTTAGCCTAGGTTTGTGGGTGAGTGTCTCCCTGTTCTATTCATGGAGATTAGCGCACAACATTCCTGTTCTCAATGTTCCCACACTTGTTATTTCCACTATATGTCTCTTTCTCTCTTCAATTGTTTACATTGTCCTAGCTTACTGCCATCACAACCCTGCTCACATTTACAATAGATTGGTGTTGGGGTGATGCTGGCCTGACCTATTCCTCTATAGATCCTGTGTCTTCACTTTCATTTTGTAGTTGTTCTATTCCTCTTGGGGTTGAGCTAATATCTGAATTTACCTTAAAGCCCACTCAAATTGGCATATCATAAAAAACTGGAGTTGCCTTGTATTTTTTTTAATTACAATACCTAGAAAAAATGCAGGTACATGTGGAGACTGACTGAATGAATGATGTCCCAGAAACCTATATGCCATGAACTAAATTTAAGAAATTCATAGGTTTAGGGATACAATATTCCCAGACCTTCAGCTGCTGAATGTGTCTGCTACATTGCCAGGAGTTCATGTTCTGTTTCCCACCTTGTGTGTTTTCATTGGGAAATATACAGTATCCAAGAGGAATCAACTAGATAGATGTCCAAGGCATCTCACATGGCCAGACACATTACATAGTTCAGCAAACAGAAAAAGTGGGAGCCTGGTCTTCAAATCTTGCAGAGAGTGAAGGTGCTCACAGCCTTTTACCAGGAATCAGGTCACTTTCTCCAACATACCTAGGATGTGAAACTCCTGACACATCCTAAGTTTCTGACCTCAGTCAGAACCTAGTCTGAAGGTGACTCCAATTAGAGTTGATTTGTTCTTTATTACACACATGACTTGCATGGTGTCTTTAGAGCCTCAAAGGCAGGTTAGTCACCTTCCAACTAGGAGCAAATTGCATGTCCAGAGCATTGAAACCACAGGGCAGATTGGATGCCCAGCTAGGTGTCTATGTCACACTTGAAAACTCCAGAACAAAAAGAAACAAACTCATCCAAAAAGAGTAGACAACAGTAAGTAATCAAATTGAAGTCTGAAATCAATCAAATATAAAGAAAGAAAACAATACAAAGAGTCAAGGAAACAGTTCGTTCTTCAAGAGAATCTGGAAAACCATAGAATCATTAAGTCATTCAAAAATCAATACTCCACAAAATAGTAAAATCAAGGCCTGTGAATTGTTCCAGTATTTGGATGGGAGTTGCACTGAAGATATAGATTGCTTTTTGACAAGATTGCTATTTTTACTATGTTGATCCTGCCTATCCAAGAGTTTGGGAGATCTTTCTATTTTCTGGTATCTTCTTCTTTAATTTCTTTCTTTAAAGACTCAATGCTCTTGCAATAAAGGTCTTTCACCTGTTTGGTTAGCATTGCCCAAATATATTTTGTGCTATTGTGGCTATTATAAAGGGTGATGCTTCTCTGATTTCTTTCTCAGCCCATTTATCATATGTATATAGTAGGGCTACTGATTTTTTAAAAATTAATCTTGTAACCTGCCACTTTGCTGGTAGAGTTTCCCATGGTAGAGTTTTTCGGGTCACTTATTGAAACTCTCATATCATCTGCAAATAGTGAAAGTTTGACTTCTTCCTTTGCAATTTGTACCCCCTTGACCTCCTTTTTTGTCTTATTGCTCTAGCTAGAACTTCAAGTACAATATTAAATAGATACACAGAGAGTGGACAGTCTTGTCTTGTTCCTGATCTTAGAGGACACACATTGTGTTTCTCTCCATTTAATTTTATGTTGGCTGTTGGTTTACTGTATATTGCTTTTATTATATTCAGGTATGTTCCTGTTTTCACTGATCTCTCTAGAACCTATATCATGAAGGCGTGTTGAATCTTGTCAATGGCTTTTTCAGCATCTAGTAAAATGACCATGTGGTTTTTTTTTTGCAATTTGTTTATATGGTAGACTACACTGATAGATTTTCATATGCTGAACCATCACTGCATCCTTGGGGTGAAGTATATTTGATAATGGTGGATGATTTCTATGATGTGTTCTTGGATCTGATTTGCCAGTATTTTATTGAGTATTTTTGCATCAATGTTCATGGGGTATATTGGTCTGTAGTATTCTTCCTTAGCTGTGTCTTTGTGTGGCTTGGGTAAAAAGGTAATTGTAGACTCATAAAAAGAGTTTGGAAATGAACCTTTTGCTTCTATTTTCTGGAACAATTTGAGGAGCATTGGTTTTAGCTTTTCTTTAAATTTCTCATAGAATTCTCTACTGAAGCCATCTGGGCCTGGGCTTTATTTGGTTGGGAGAATTTTGATGAGTATTTCTACTTCATTAGGGCTTATAGGTTTCTTTAAATTGCTTATCTGTTCTTGATTTGATTTTGATAAGTGGTATCTATCAAGAAAATTGTTCATTTCCTTTAAATTTTTGAATTTTGTGGGTTACGTGTTTTCAAAGTATGACATGAGGATTCTCTGGAATTTCTCAGTGTTCATTGTTATGTTCCCCTTTTCATTTCAGATTTTGTTCATTTGCATGTTCTCTCTCTACCTTTTGGATAGTTTGGATAATTGTTTGTCTACCTTGTTGATTTTCTCGAAGAAGCAACTCTTTGTTATATTGAGTCTTTGTATTGTTTTATTTGCTTCTACTTTATTGATTTCCGCCCTCAGTTAGATGATTTCCTGGAATATGCTTCTCTGGAGTGAGTTTGCTTCTTTTTGCTTTAGAACTTTCAGTTGTCCTGCAAATTCTATAGAGTGGCTATTCTACAGTTCCTTCATGTGGGTACTTAGTGCTATGTACATTCCTCTTGGAATCACTTTCAAAGTGTCCCGTAAGTTTGGGTATGTTGTGTCTTTATTCTATTGAATTCTAGGAAATCTTAATTTCTTTCTTTATTTCTTTTACATTTAGATTAGAAACAATCTCGTTTCACATGTCAATCCCAGCTCCCTCTCTCTCCCCTCCTCCCCCGCCCTTCCCATCAGGTCCCCCAGTCGCCTACCCAATCTCCACTCCGATCACCAAGGAGGGCGAGGCACTTCATGGTGGATCTCCAGTAACTGTCATTTCATTCAGGACAGGGCCTAGGCCCTCCCCCAAGAGTCCCGGCTGAGAGAGCCTCCCATATTGTGGCATGGACACTCAAAGTCTATTTGTATGCCAGGGGTAAATATTACCCAAGGCCCCATAGATTATCTAGGCCTCCTCACTGACACCCACATTCAGGTGGTCTGGGTCAGTCCCATGCTTTCCACACAGCCATCAATCTGGAGTCCAAGAGCTTCTCCTTGATCAGGTCAATGTTTCTGTGGGTTAAACCAGACCACTCTTAACTCTTTGCCCATCAGTTCTCTCTTTCTGACACTGGATTCCAGGAGTTCAGTTCAGTGTTTTTCTGTGGGTATCTGCCTTTGCTTTCATCAGTCGCTGGATAAAGGCTCTTATGGTTCATTTGTGCACTGTTCAATTTCCATGAGCTTGTAGGGTTCTACAATTTGTGTTCTTGTTGAATTCCAACTTTACAGCATGGTGATCTGATGAGATACAGGGAGCTATTACAATCTGTTAAAGTTTGCTGTGTTGCCAAGTATGTGGCTGATTTTAGAGAAGATTCAATGTGCTACTGAGAAGAGGGTATATTCTTTTGTGTTTGGATGAAATATTCTATAGATGTCTGTTAAACCCAATTGGATCATCACTTCCGTTAGTTCCTTTGTTTCTATGTTAAGTGTCCGTCTGGTGGTCCAGTCTAGTGGTGAGAGTGGGGCGTTGAAGTCTTCCATTATAACTGTGTGAGGTCTTATGTATGATTTGAGTTTTAGTAATGCTACTTTTACAAATGTGGGTGCCTTTATATTTGGGGCATAGATGTTCAGAATTGACAATTCTTCTTGATGCATTTTCCCTGTGATGAATATGACATTCTTCATCTTTTTTGATTGATTTTAGCTTGAAGTCTAATTTGTTAGATATTAGGATAACTACACCAGCTTGTTTGTTGAGTCAATTTTATTGGAAAATCTTATCCCAACCCTTTATTCGGAAGTAATGTCTGTTTTTTGAAGTTGAGTAGTGTTTCTTGTAAGTAGAAGGATAAATTTTGTCTTTGTATTCATTCTGTTAGCCTGTGTAATTTCATAGGCAAGTTAAGTCAATATTGAGGGAAATTAAGGACCATTGAATGTTAATTCTTGTTTGTTTTGGATTTGATGTTGGTAGTGTTATCATGTGTGGATTTATCTTGCTATTTCTTTTGGCTTCTGGTAAATTGGGATTATCTATTGCCTGTTTTTGTGAGTGTAGTTAACTTTCTTAGGACGGAGTTTTCCTTCCAATACTTTCTGTATGGATGCTATAGTGGATATATATTGTTTAAATCTGGTTTTGTCATGGAATATCTTGTTTTTTCCATCTATAGTGATTGAAAGCTTTGCTGGGTATAGTTGTCTGTGCTTATACCCATGGTGTCTTACTGTTTGTAGAATATCTATCCAAGACCTTCTGGCTTTCAGAGTTTCCATGGAGAAGTCAGGTGTAATTCTGATAGTTTGCTTTTATATGTTACTTGGTCTTTTTCCTTTGCTGCTCTTAATATTCTTTCTTTATTCTATATGTTTGGTGTTTTGATTATTATGTGGTGAGGGAACTTTTTGTGGTTCACTCTATTTGGTGTTCTGGAGGCTTCTTGTGCTTTCATTGGCATGTCTTTCTTTAGGTTGGGGAAATTTTCTCCTATGATTTTGTTGAATATCTTTTCTGCATCTTTCAGCTGGGTTTCTTCACCTTATTCTATAACTATTATTCTTACA